TCCCTCTGCTGCTGCCGCGCTGACGGTTCGGTCCCCCGTGCGTCCGTCTCCCGCCCGTCGTTCCCGCCCCCATGTCCTCCTCGAGCCTGTGCCCTCGCTCCTCGTCCTTCTGTTGTTGTCCTGTGAACCGTGTCACGTGAGCGCACCCCATGTAGCTTACACCGCCTGCACTGTCATTGTCCTGGCAAGTTTGGGCCAACTCTTTTTGCCACTTGCTGCAAATGGGTTGTGGGTACGTCGCAGGGGACTTGTTGTTCGCCACGCTTGGGCCTCCAGGAGCGCCCACGTGGCCACGGCTCGATCGAACTCGAAATTCTGGTCGGAAGGCTCCCGGAGCTACGCCCTCGGGGGCACCCCTCGCCTGAGTTTGCTGCAAGGCCGAGGGGAGAGAGAGGATGGATGTGGAGGAAGGAGGTATGAGCGCTCAGCTGTGTTCCAATTAGACGAGGGAGGAGGGAGGTGGGAGGGGGGAAGGGACAGGCGGGAGGACGGAGGAGATACGAGGAGGAGGAGGAGGAGGAGCAGGAGGAGGAGGAGGAAGAGGAGGAGAAGGAGGAAAGATGCGGGAGATGAAGGAGAGACAAGAGAGGAGGGAGGATGGGGAGAGGTATAGGAGGAGGAGGAGGAGGAGGAGGAGGAGAAGAAGGAGGAGGAGGAGGAGGGCGAGGAGGACGGAAAGGAGAGGGGCAACGACTGTGAATGACGCAGCTCTCATCCGAAAACCCTAGCTTTTGAACGGGCAGCTCTGGGAGGTAGCCCCAGCTGGCCTCGACGGGCACCCCGTGGCAGTCAGGGGGAGCCCAGCACTCCTGGTGCTGCTGCTCATTCTCCTCGCCCTCGTCCTACTCGATCCCCTTCCTCCTCCTCCTCCTCTTCCTCCTCCTGTTCCTCCTCCTCTTCCTCCTCCTCTTCCTCCTACTCCTCCTCCTCTTCCTCCTCATCCTCCTCCTTCTCCTCCTCCTCCTCACCCTCCTCCTCTATTTCGATGTTTGCTTCCCAGGCCGACCAAGTTCTGTGACCACTAGCGGGCAGCAAAGCTACGCCCCCTCGAGGTCTCCTCCTCCTCTTCCTCCTCCTCCTCCTCCTCCTCCTCCTACGCCTCCTCTTCCTCCCCCCTCCTCCTCCTCCGTTGTCACGGCCGCCGCCGCCGCCGTCGCCGCCCCTGCCGTCGTCCGATGAAAATCCGTTCCGAATTGGTCGTCGGACCCCTCGCGAGGCCCATCCTGGCCAGTTCCCCGGGCCGCGCCCAGCCGTGGCCACCAGAACCGCCAAGAAAAGCCAGCAGAACCTTCAAGCTGGCATCGCCGCCGCCGCCGCCGTCGACGTGCTCGTCGCCGCTGTCGTCGTCGTCGTCGTCGTCGTCGTCGTCGTCGTCGTCGTCGTCGTCGTCGTCGTCGTCGTCGTCGTCGTCGTCGTCGTCGTCGTCGTCGTCATTGTCGCTGCGGCCGTCGCCGCCACAATCGCCGCCGCAGCCCCCTGAGATCTGACGACAAGGAAAGGTTGCAGCATCGTGGGAAAGCACGACAGGAGCCCTAGACCCCAACATTCTGCTGCACTTTTGGGGCCCGATCGATGTGCGATGCCCCCCTGCCCCGAAACCGAGCGAAAATGCCTTGTCCGAAAAAACTGATACGCCCGAATTTCGAGGTCCCCGTGCCCCCTCGTGCCATAACTCGGCGTTCTGGGCACCCCTGGAACGCGCTCGGCCAGGCGCAACCGCTGAAGGCACCCCGAAGCTGGAAAGCCGACGAGAACCCACGAAAAAGTCCGAAAACCTGCAGCCTGGAATATGGAAAAATAAAAAGTACCAATACCGCTCCTACCCGGACCTCTCCTGGGTTGCGTTCTGACTTGGATTTCGAAGCGAATCCAGCAGTGGCGAGGCCAAAAAACTGCGAAAATCAGGAAAGTGTACCCATCGGTCAGAAAAAGTGGGTGAAACATGAAGTAGGAAGGCGTTGAAAGGAGAGTGGGTCTCCATCCAACCCCTGAAGAGGACAGAAGGGGAAAACCGCTCGACTCTTGAAATAGACAAGGGTTCATGTGGACCTGGATCCGAGAATCCAGTAATATTTCCTGCCAACATCCAATGGGTAGCAACATCGGCACCTTTTCCTCCTCCAGTCGCCGCACCCACCGTCTTCGCCGCCGCCGACTGCCCGAAGCGCGCGGTCCTTGCCGTCGCCGTCGCCGTCGTCGTCATTCATCATCGTCGTCGTCGCCGTCGTCGTCGTCTTCGTCGTCCTCGTCGTTGTCGTCGTCGTCCATGGCGCTGGAGTCGTCGTCATCGTCGTTTTTGTCTTCGCAGTCGACCATGGCGCCGCCATCCATGGCACCGTCCATGGCGCCGTCGCCGTCGTCGTTGTTTGCGTTATCGTCGTCGTCGTCGTCGCCGTTGTCGTCGGCGTCGTCGTCTTGGTCGTTCTCGTCCTCGTCGTCGCCCATGGCGCCGTCGTCTTCATTGTCGCCTTCGTCATCGTTGCCGTTGTCGTCATCGTTGTCGTCGCGGTCGTCGCCATCGTCGTCGTCATCGCCGTCGTCGTCGTCTTCTTCGTCGTCGTCGACCATGACGCCGTCGTCGTCGTGTCGTCGTCGTCGTATTCGTCGTCCTCCATAGCGCCGTCGTCATGCCCGTCGTCGTGCATGGCGCCGTCGTCTTCGTCGTCGCCGTCGCCGCCGTCGTCGTCGTCGTCATCGTCCATGGCGCCGTCGTCGTCGCTGTCGTCGTCGCCCATGGCGCCGTCGTCGTCGTCTTCGTCGTCATCGTCCATGACCCCGTCGTCGTCATCGTCGTCGTCGTCATCGTCGACCTCTTCGTTTTCGTCATCGTCGTCCTATTAGTCAGCTTCGCTGGCGTCGTCCATGGCGCCGTCGTCGTCATCTTCGTCGTCGCCGTCGTCGTCGCCATCATCGTCCACGTCGTCGTCGTCGTTTTCATCGTCGCCGTCGTCGTCGTCCGTGGCGCTGGAGTCGTCGTCGTCGTCGTCATCGTCGCCATCGTCATTCATCGTACCGTCCGCGTCGTCGTCGTCGCCATCGTCGTCGTCTTCGTCCTCGTCCATCGCACCGTCGTCGTCGTCGTCGTCCTCGTCGTCGTCTGCGCAGTCGTCGTCGTCGTCGTCGCCGTCGCCGTCGTTGTCGTCGTACTCGTCGCAATCGTCGTCGTCGTCGTCCATGGCGCCGTCGTCGTTGCTTGCCTTATCGTTGTCGTCGTCTCCGTCGCCGTCGTCGTCGTACTCGTCGCCATCGTCGTCGTCGTGGTCATCCATGGCACCGTCGTCATCGTCGTCTTCATCGTCGTCGTCGACGTCAATGGCGCCGTCGTCGCTGCCGTCGTCGCCGTCGTCGACTTCGTCGTCTTCGTCGTCGCCGTCGTCGTCAATCATGGTGCCGCCGTCGTCCAGTGAGCCGTCTTCGCCGTCGTCATGCATGGCGCCGTCGCCGTCGTCATCGTCCATGGCGCCGTCGTCGTCGTCGTCGTCGCCAGCGTCGTCCATGGCGCTGGAGTCGTCGTCGTTTCCGTCGTCGTCGTCAATAGCGCCGTCGTCGCCGTCGTCGTCGACCATGGCGCCGTCGTCGTGGTCGTCGTCGTCGTCGTAGTCGTCGCCGACGTCTTCGTTGTCGTCGTCGTCCTGTTCCTCGTCGCCCATGGCGCCGTCCTCGTCGTCGTCGACGTCGTCGCAGTCGTGTTTGTCGTCCTCGTTGTCCATGGCGCCGTCGTCTTCAACGTTTTCGTCGTCGTCGTAGTCGTCGCCATCGTCGTCGTCATCGTCGTCGTCATCGTCGTCGCCGTCGCCGTCGTCGACCATGGCGCCGTCGTCCTCGTCGTCTTCTTCTTCTCTGTCGTCGTCGTCGTTGTCGCCGTCATGGTCGTCGTCGCCATCGACGTCACCGTGGTCGTCTTCGTAGTCATCCTCGGCCTGGCCTCGTCGTCCATGGCACCGTCGCCGTCGTCGTCGTCGGCGTCGCTGTCGTCGTCGTCGTCCTCGTCGTCGTCGTCGTTGTTGCCGCCGTCGTCGCCATCGTCGTCGTCGTCGTCGGAGTCGTCGTCGACCACGGCGCCGTCGTCATTGTCGTCGCCGTCGTCCTCGTCGTCGGACATGGCGCCATCGTCGTCGTCGTCGTTGCGTCTTCGTCGTCGTCCTCGGCCTGCCCTCGTCGTCCATTGCACCGTCGTGGTCGCGGTCGTCGTCGTCATCCTCGTCGTCCCCGTCGTCGCCGTCGTCTTCGTCATCGTCGACCATGGCGCTGTCGACGTCGTGATCGTCTACGTCGTCGTCGTCATCCTCATTTTCGTCGTCGATGGCGCCGTTGTCGTCTTCGTTGTCGTCGTCGCCGTCGTCATCATTGTCGTCGTCGCCCTCGTCGTCGTCGTCTTTCTTCGTCGTCGTCGTCCTTGTCCTTTTCCTCGTCGTCCATGGCGCTGTTGTCGTCGCCGTCGTCGTCGTCGTCGCCGCCGCCGCAGCCGTTGCCGCCGTCGTCGTCGTTGTCATCGACCATTGCTCCGTCGTCGTCGCTGTCGTCGTCGTCGTCCAAAGCAACGTCACAGTCGTCGTCGACGGCGCCGTCGTCGTCGACTAGCTTGCTGCCGTCGTCGCCATCTTCGACGTCGTCGCCCTCGTCGTCGTCGTCTTTCTTTGTCGTCGTCGTCGACGTCGGCGACATCGTCGTCGTCGCCAACGCAGTCGTCGTCGTTGTCATCGACCATTGCTCCGTCGTCGTCGCTGTCGTCGTCGCCGTCGTCGTCATCGTCGTCGGAGTCCTCGTTCCTTTCCTCGTCGTCCATGGCGCCGTTGTCGTCGACGTCGTCGTCGTCGTCGCCACCGCAGCCGTTGCCGCCGTTGTCGTCGTCGACGTCGTCCACTGCTCCGTCGTCGTCGCTGTCGTCGTCGTCGTCTTCATCGTCGTCCTTGTCATCCTCGTCCTCGTCGTCCATGGTGCCGTCGTCGTCGCCGCCGTCGTCGTCGTCGTCGTCGTCGCCATCGCCGCAGCGCGCGGTCCTTACCGTCGCCGTCGCCGTCGTCGTCGTCCATGGCGCCGGAGTCGTCGGGCTGCGGCGCGGCTTCCTGCAGCGGGGGTGCTCTTCCCCCCTCACATCCACGCGCTGCAGTTTCTGTCAAACTGGGCGCTTTCGTCTGGTTTCGGGCCCCAGGACCTGCCTCCTCCTCCTCCCTCCTCCCCCTCCCCCTCCTCATCCCCCTCATTCCATCATCCTTATCCTCCTCCTGGAATTCCTCCTCCATCCTCCCCATCCTTGGATGCGACGTTCTCCTCCGCTCTTCATGTCACTGCATGCCTGATCAGGGCCACTCGCCTGTGCATCGTTTCTGGATGCGCTGGTGGGCTTACGGGGAATCGGCTAGAATTTGTTCACAGTGTGCGGTTTCGTCTGGTTTCGGGTCCCGGCACCATCACAGATCGCCCTGGCTCAAAAAAGCAGCAGAAAGATGTAGTCTAGGGCTCCGGTCGGGGTTTCCTACGATGTTGCAACGGTTTCGCAACGTCGGATCTCAGGGCGCCCCTTCCTCCAAGGGAGCAGCGAGGGGGCTGTGAGGAGAAAGCCGGGGGGCCCAGATCTCCGACGGCATGACTTTTCAACCGGCGGTTTCCCTCGATTTCGGGCAGCCAAAAACTGGATCCGACAGGAAAAACTACCTCCCCAGGAAGCGGTCGTGACTCTGGGGCCGCGGATTGAGAAAACATATCGGGGGATGCTGGGGGAGCAGAGAGGAGGGGTAAGAGGAGAAGGGAGCGGGAGGGAGGGGGGGAGGGGGGACCGCGACGACGACGAGGCCCCCCAGACGCGAAACAGTGGGGCAAGAGAAGGAACCAAAGACCCTCAGGACACGCTGGCCGAAGAATCTGGGGGCCCCTCCTCCTCCACTCCTGTTCCTGACAAGTACCTCCTCCCTGTCGCACCACCAGACAGACGAGTCCGTAGGCTGGGCCCGGGATTTCGTCTGAGACTTCCTCGCAGAATATGATCCTGAAACTTGAAGTCCCACCAGCCCTTTCGGGCGTAAGGTGTTTTAGGGAGTTCCCTCTTCCACCCCTCCCTCTTCCCCTTCGGGGAGGGGTTCACCCCTCCCCCTTACCCCCTCCCCTGGACCTCCAAGAGGGCCTCAGAGAGCCCACGATGACCTCCAAGATTGCCCAAGATATCCCAAGATGCGTCAAGAGGGCTCCCAAGATGCTCCAAGAGGCCCCATGACCGCTTCAAGACGGCTCCGAGCGGCCACGGAGCATCCCCAGGAGGCCGCCAAGAAGCCAAAATCCTTCGAAAGCTTAAGGAAAATCAATGATGTTTGCCTTCTTGCCTTATCGCTTCCGATGGCCCCAAGAGAGGCCCCAGAGAGCCTCAAGACGACCCCTAAGAGCGCTCCAAGAGGGGCCCAAGAGGTGGTTTTGGGGGCTCCCGAGGGGGGAGGCTAATCGAAGCTCCCCCCTTCTTTCATCGCTCCTCCAAGATGGCCCCAAGAGGCGCCCATGAGGCCCCAAGAGGCCCCAAGATGGCACTAGGATGGCTCCAAGATGGCCCCAAGAGGCCCCCAGGAGGCCCTTAATAGGACCCCAAACGGCCCCAAGAGGCCTCCGCGAGGCACCCAAGACGCCCAAAAGCCCCCCAGGACTGCCAAGAGACCCCCAAGACGTCCCAAGAGGCTTCCAAGAAGCGCCAAAGAGAAAACCCAAGAGGCTCCGAAAGGCATCCCAGAGACCTCTGGCCCTTTTGCTTGCCCTCCTCCTCCTGCTCCTCCTGCCTCCTCCTGCTCTTTCTCTTCCTCCTCCTCCTCCTCCTCCTCCTCCTCCTCCTCCTCCTCCTCCTAATCATCATCATCATCATCATCATCATCATCATCATCATCATCATCATCATCATCAGCAGCAGCAGCATCATCATCATCATCATCAGCAGCAGCAGCAGCATCATCATCTTCATCGTCAGCATCAGCATCATCATCATCATCATCATCATCATCATCATCATCATCAGCATCATCATCATCCTGTTCATATTTCTTCTCCCCACTCCCTCATCCATCCATCTAGCCTCCTCCTTCTCCTCCTCCCTCCTTCGCACGGTTCGGCCGTCCACCTCTTTGCTCCCGCACTTCCCTGATCACCTCAACTCGCCTGGACATCGTTTCTGGATGGACTGGTAAGGATACGCGAATCGGCTCGAATGTGTAACAGCTTCAGGGGTGATTCCCGGGTCGGTTTCAAACTGTGGCTCTCTCCTAAGCAATGGGCACATTCGTCTCAAAAACTTGCAACTGTTCCAAAAATGGAGCCCAGGTAGTTCTCAGAATGCGGTGTTCCCCTTAGCGCCGCGCCCATTCGCCCTATAAACTTGCAACCGCTTCAAGTATGGAGGCCAGCTCCTTTTCAAAATGTCAGTTTCGCCTTAGCGCCGCGCGCATCCATACGACCCAACCCCCACCATTCTATGCAAAAAACGTGTCGGTGCACACCCATCCAACCCAACCCTCACCATCCGATGCAAAAACTTAATTCTGCTCGCATCCATACGAACCAGCCCTCACCATCCTATGCAAACAACTTCTCCTACTCGGCGCACGTCCACTCGACCAAACCATTCCAATCCCACCAGTTCTTCGGGCGACAGGCGGTCTAAGGGTGATCTCGTTTTTCTGCCACAACCCATCTTCCCTTCGGGGAGGGGAACCCTCCCCCTCCCCTCCCTGGTTTTTTTTGGGGGAGGGGGGCCGATGTGTCAGAGAGTCTTTTCGGCCAGTGGGAGGGCCAATGTTTGACACCCCTCACGAGGATCGTGGCCCCCGAGGGGGGGGGGGGGGGGGGGGGCAGACATCGAGGACCCCCCCTCTTTTGACCGACCGCCTTCAAGATGGCACCAAGAGGCCCTCCAGGGCCTCAAGAAGCCCCAAAGAGAGATCAAGGAGCGCCCCGAGAAGCCCCAAGAGGCACCCGAGAGGCACCCAAGAGGCCCCCTGCGCGGCCCCCCAAGAGGCCCGAGAAGCTCACCCGAGGCACGCAAGACGCCGTCTCGTCCTCGTCATCCTCCTCCTCCTCGTTATCCTCGCCCTCGTCCTCGTCCTCATCCTCGTCCTCATCCTCGTCGACCTCCCCGTCCGTATCCTCCTCCTCCTCTTCCTCCTCCTCCTCCTCATCATCATCCTCCTCGTCCTCTCGTTCTCGTCCATATCTCTTCGTTCTCGTCCTCGTCATGTTCCTCCTCCTCCTCCTCCACCCCCTCCGCCTCATCCTCCTCCTCCTCCTCCTCCTGCTCCTCCTCCTCCTGCTCCTCTTCCTCCTCCTCCGCCTCGTTCTCATCCTCCCCCTCGTTCTCGTCTTCTTCTTCTTCCTCTTCCTCCTCCTCCTCCTCCTCCTCTTCCTCCTCCTCCTCCTCCTCCTCCTCCTTCTCCTCCTCCTCCTCACTCACTTAATCCTTGTCCTCCTCCTCCTCGTCCTCCTTCTCCTTGTCTTGCTCCTGCTCCTCTTGCCTCCTCCCTCATCCTCCTCCTCCTCCTCCCCTATCCTCCTCCTCCTCCTTTTCCTCCTCCTCTTCGCCCCCCCCCCCACGCGGGCCCAGAGATGGCCTCAACAAGCCGTGCAGGCCGGCCTCCCTCGCTGTTTGACTATGCGTGTCGCTTCCTATCCCCCCCCCCGTCAGCTCTCGCGGGCATCGTTTCTGGATGGGCTGGTGGGGATTTTTTCGGTCGCGTCCACCAGCGAAGGCGCTAGCGGAGTCAGGAGTGCTACGGGACACGAAAGCGGCCGAATTAGCGACTAAACGCGCCGCAGGCTGGCCGGCCCACGCTGGTGAAACTACGCGAAGCGTCAAGAATTGTATGTTGAAAGCAGTTGGTGCACATCCAGCCAAACCAGCCCCCATCACCCTAGGCACAATATCTTATTCGGTGTACGGCCATACGACCCAACCATCATCATCTGGGGGAAAACAATTCGTTGCACATCCATCCGGCCCAAGCCTTGCCACCCTATGCAGAAAACGGCAGTCGGTGCGTACCGGCGGATTTTCAACGTCAACCCACCCCCTGGCCCCGAAAAGCCCTTTGGTGCAAAAGGCAAGCACAACAACAAGTCGATAGCTAATACACACTAAAGCGGTACGTGTCGGGCACACCTCGCTGACTCCGATGTTGGACCCGAGCGTTCCCCAGGCCGCCCCCGGCGCTCCCAGGCGCTCCAAGACGCTCCCAGGCGCTCCCAGACGCCACAATCCTTCCCCAAGCGTTCCCAGGCTCCCCGTCGCCACCAGCAGGAACAGCATCCACATCCTCACCTTTATCGCCCTCGTCGCCGCTAGAAGCCTCAAGGAGCAGATGCATTCAAATCGCGTTGACGCATGGACAACAAACAAACGGTTTTCACAAGGGGGCTCTCGCTCTGCTGGCCCCGCACTCCATCTTTTTACACACCCGAAGAAGAAATAGAGGACGGGCCGTCTTCAAAAACAAGCTCTCGCCCTGGCTCGGCGTGTGTGAAACGCTGTCGCCCTCTTTGTCGTCGTCGTCGTCCGTCGTCCGTCGTCGTCGTCGTCGTCGCCTGCCCTAAAAAGTTCAGGAACGAACAGAGAAAAGAAACGTCGTAGTTAAGTCGATTCCCGTCTCTTCATCCCTTTCCTGACGGGGGGGGTAGGGGGAGGGAAGGGGGGGAGGTAAGGGGGGGGTCCGCCGCCCCCCGGGGGTCCAGGCGGGTCCTGGGGGGTGGTCCCACAGGTGCGCCGAAGGCTCCAGTGGCAGGGCTCGTGTGGCGGCCCCGCTCTATTTCGATGCACACCTGGCACGGTCCGTGGTCCCATAGGGAGCCCCACCGAAGGCCCAAATGACAGGGTTCGCATGGCAGCCCCGTCCCATTCCAGAGCAGCCATCACACGCTTGGAAGTTTTCGGAGATTCGTAAGGAGCACCACCGAAGGCCCAAACGCCAGGGTTCGCGACCCGCCCCATTTCGGCACACCACTCTCACACTTCGTGGACCTTTTGGGAACTCCACTGCAGGCCCCAGTGGCAGGATTCGCATCACGGCCCGCTCCATTTCGGCGCACCCGTCACGGCGCCATAAGGAGCTCCACCGAAGGCCCCCGTGGCAGGGTTCGCATGGCGACCCTGCCTATGTCGGCGCACCCTGGACACGCTTCGCGGCCCAAAAGAGGAGATCCGCCGAAGGCCCGACTGGCAGGGTTCGCATGGCGACCCCACCCCCGTTTCGGCACAGCCATCTCACGGTTCGCGGCCCCAAACAGACAGTCAGGTGAAGTTGGTACGACATGGCTGGACTGAAAGCGTGAGTGAATGAACGCAGGACCGGGGTCTGACCCTCAAGAAGGTGCACGAGCGCGAACGCGCCCAGGAAGGTCAGAAGCTCCCACGGGCGAATTGGGGGAGGGGCTGCTCAGGAAAGCTCGAGAAGAAGCCGCATGAGGAAAGTTATAGAAGAAACCGCCTGAGGGAAGTTCTAGAAGGAGAACCTGTAGAAAGCTCTGGAAGGAGCGCCTGACTAACGGACCTTCCTCCCCCCCCGCCCTGACGCGCCAGCCCCATGCCCCTGCGCAAATCGTCTTCGGAGTCCTTCGCTGCCCATAACCAATTCCTATGCGAGGGTACACTGGTCCGACAAGATGCGTGCCAAACGCGCTATTCTCACACCACTCGGACCCGCCGAAAACCCATCAAATGCTCATAAAATCGGTCCAACAATCCGCATGAGATCCGCAGCGGATCCGCATCCCGATCCGTACCCGGATCCGACGCCGGAGGCGAGGTTGACACTCCCGAACGGGGACCCTCGTCAACGCTTGCAGGGCACATGCAATCGTTTTCGGGTGCCCGACGCTGCGCTCATCGCCCGCGACCTGCCGCCGAACCTTCTTTTCCATAGGCTGGCTGGGCCGACATCCCCTGGCCGGGTTGGACTGACAGTATGGCACCCTCGCGCGACTTGAGACTTCGGGCCGATTTGTCAAATCGTACGAACTTACCTGACTGTCTGACAGACAGTCACATGAAATTGGTACGGTTTGCCTGGACTTGAAGCGTGACTGAATCACCGCATGACCGAAGTCTGACCCTCATAAAGGTGCACGGGCGCGAGCGCGCCCAGGCAGGGTCAGAAGCTCCCACGGGCGAGCCGGGATGGGGATGCTCAATAAAGTTCTGGAAGGAGCCGCCGGAGGAAAGTTCTAGAAGAAGCTTTTGGAGAGTTCCAGAAGGAGCGCCTGAGTTAGGCGCCTTCCGCCCCTATCGCGCCATCCCCGTGCCCCTGCGCAAGTCGTCCTCGGAGTGTTTCCCCGCCCTCAACTGCTAGTATACTTCCAGGGTGCACTAGTCCGACAGGGTCCGTGCCAAACGCGCTACCGTGCCAAACGCGCTATTTTCACACCACACGGATCCGCCCAGAACCCAACGAATTCGCATTGGATCCGTTCAGCAAGCCTCGGCCCCGCATAAAATCCGCAGCGGATCCGCACCCAGATCCGTACCCGGATCCGTCGGCGGAGGCGAGGTTGACACTCCCGAACGGGGACCCTCGTCAACGTTTGCAGGGGCCCATGCACTCGTTTTCGGGTGCCCGACGCTGCGCTCATCGCACGCGACCCGCCAGAAAACCCTTTTTTCCCAGGCTGGCTGGGCCGAAAGCCCCTGGGCTGGCTGGGCCGATAGTCTGGTGCCTTCGTGCGATTTGGGACTTCAGGCCGATTTCTCAAATCGTACAGAATCACCTGACCATCTGTAATAGAGCCAAGCGAAGTTGGTACGACGTGCCTGGACTGGAAGCCTGACTGAATCACCGCATGACCGAAGTCTGACCCTCATGAAGGCTCACGGGCGCGAGCGCGCCCACGCACGGTCGGAGCTTCCACGAGGCGATTTTGGGGAGGGTCTGTTCAATAAGGTTCTAGAAGGAGCTGCCGGAGGAAAAGTTCTATAAGGAGCGCCTGAATAAAACGCCTTCCCACCCCTGTCGCGCCAGCCCCGTGCCCCTGCGCAAGTCGTCATCGGAGTCCTTCGCTGCCGTTAATCCGCCACCGCGCTTGCAGCGGTAGATTTGTGTGTGTGTGTCTGGCCCTCCCCGATGCATCGAGCCCAAGATGCGTTCAGCTTTATGACCAAATCCCTGCGTCCTTGAATATACCACATAAAAAAAGTGCCCTCCCCAGGCGCCCGCCCCCCCCGGGCGCCCGCCCAAGCGCTTTGGCGGAATCGCGCGGCAGCGCCACTGGATTCATATTATACAAGCGCACAGTGGTCCGACAGGATCCGTGCCAAACGCGGCATTCTCGTGACTGCATCAACGCACGACTTGGGTCTGACCCTCAAGAAGGTGCACGGGCGCGAGCGCGCCCAGGCACGGTCAGAAGCTCCCACGGGCGAGTCGAGGGAGGGGCTGCTCAGGGAAGTTCTAGGAGGGACCGCCTGAGGAAAGTTCTAGGAGGAGCACCTGAGGAAAGTTTTGGAAGGAGCACCTGAGGAAGGCGCAATCCCCCTCCCCTTGTCGCGCTAGCCCCGTGCCCCTGCGCAAGTCGTCCTCGCAGTCCTTGGATCCGTACCCGGATCTCACGCCCGAGGAGAAGATGACACTCCCGCACGGGGACCCTCGTCAACATCTGCGGGGGCCCCTGCACTCGTTTTCGAACCCAACACTGCGCCCAACGCCCGCGACCTACCGCCAAACCCTTGTCCCCAGGCTGGCTGGGCCGACGGCCCTTGGCCTGGCTGGACCGACAGTCTGGCACCTCCGTGCGATCTGGGACTTCGGGCCGCATTCTCAAATCGCGCAAACTTAGCTCACTGTCTGCAGGGAGCTCCACCGAATGCGATACCCAGAATGCGGTACTCACAACTGCATGTGGTCGGGCCCTTCACAAGGATGATCTTGTCTTACTGCTCGAAGCCCCCTCCACTGTGCTGCCGCTGCCCTGGCCACGCCAGCGTTGGGCGGCACGGCCGGCGGCCCCTGGCCAACGGCCGGCCACCTGGCGCAACTGTTCGATGAGGCCAAGACTGGGTGAAATGAGGACTGAGACCGAGTCTCTGCGTGCAGAGGCAGGGGGGGGAGAAACGGACGCCGATGTGCTCTTGGAAAGACGAAGCTGAGGAGAGAGAGCCCTCAGCATGCAGCAAAGGGAAGACGATCACGCCAACCCTGGTTCCAAGCCAAGATCATGGTCAATGAATGTACACGTGGCAATCCCAGTGTACAACGCTGCATGGCGCGAACCAAATTATGCCTTTGCACAAAACGCAGCGCTCGGCCGCGAAATTCAACATGCATACTATGCCTCGCCTCATCCCCCGCGCAAGCCCGGCCATCTCCACCAGTTTCCCTGGAAGCGCCCTGCGCTGGAGCGAGGGCGCGCGAATCCGCCCATGTCTCGCGAGCCTCGGCTCACACGACGAGGGTAGGGAGGCCACCGCCGGCAGAGCCGCGACACCGGGCCCGCGCGATGCCCTCGAGCTCCAACGGACTGCGGCCGAGCTCGCCCTTCATCTCGCACAAGTTCACCAAGACTTGCGAGAACTGCATGTTGAACGCGTTCCAGCCGCCCGCCTCGTGATCCGACCGGCGGCTGGGGCAGAAGTCAAAGACGGTGTCCACGAGCATCTTGTGGCACTCCCCGTCCACGATGGCGCGCTTGGAGGACCCGACGCTCTGCACGCAGGCGTCGTTGCTCCGGCAGGCCTCAGAAATGATGCCCTTGAAGACGAGCTCGTCCGCTTCACGGGCCTCGAGGACCTCGAGGTGCTCACGCCACGCGGCGGCCTTCAAGGTGACCTCGGTCTGCGCCTGCCACTTCATGTATGTGAGGTGCTTGGGAATGTCTCGCACATCGACAGCCGATCCAACTAGCGTCGGGAGCTCGGCCACGGCACTGACATTGGAGTCGAGCTCGAACCTGCCGATCGGCTCGTCCGCGATGGAACTGTCTCCAAACTGCATCACGTGGCTCTTGTTGGTACGCCTCGTCACCAGCTTCACCTGCTCTGCCACCGTCTCAGCTGCGAAAGCTCCCCTGTCCGAGTCCTCCATCCATGAAATAGAAAACAGGTCGCCCAAGCACGTGTGCATATCCACTCCCATCACGTGGTCGTCGGGCATGCAGTAGTAGCCCCAAGAGGACTCCTTGGCATTCGCGGCGGTCACGGCATACATGCTGCTGCCATCGGGCAGCACATCGCCCTCGAACATTGAGCCGCTCTCGCAGGCCTCCATGTAGAACACCAGCTCCCTGAACATGCTCGCGTCCTTCATGGCCTTCAGCGCGGCCGCGAGCTGAATCTTGTGGAGCGGAGGCCCGTTGGGGAAGGCGACAATGCCTGGCCCACCGTGGTCGATGAAGTTCAGGAACACGCGGTCGCCAGGCCCGCTCTTGAGCACCTTCGCGCCGTTGACAGCAGACTCGTTGCCCGTGATGACGTCGAGGAAGAGCTGAGCCGTGACGACGTCGCCCTTATAGTCCGCTTTGCACCCCGCGTAGACGTTGGCAGTGTCGAACCCAGGGCGGTTGTACAGTGCACCCAGGAATGGGTTCGACTTGGAATTTGCCACGTCGTCCTGCATCATCAGAATGATGTTGCTGGCCGGGATGCCGCTCTGGAGCATCAGCTTGTAGGCGTGGCAGCCATCCGCCTGGTGGCGGTAATTCCAGAAGCCCTTCGAGCCCACGGCGATCACGGCCCAGCGCTGACCCTGTTCGGGAGGCGTCGACGCGGCCAGCGCGCTCAGGGCCAGCAGCCACCCCGGCGTGGAGAGCGCCGCCATGTGCGACCGTCTGTGTGAGGCGCTGGCTGCCCCGACCGATGTTCTCGTTTCACTGAGCCACCTGAACCTCTACAGAGGTGCGATCTGACCAGGCCTTTCTAAGGAGAACCTAAACGCCGCCCACGAGAGCGCCCTAGGAGGCCCCAGAAAGACCCCGGTACCCAGACCTCCGCCGCCACGAAAATGGGGGAGATGCATCGACCTGGAGTCGGCGATACGTCGCCGATGGATCGGCGATAAGCCTTCGATTGTGAATCCGCACCTTCCTGGGCAGGTCGGGCCGATCGGGCCCCTATCGACGATCAGTGGGAGATTGTGGGTCGATGCATCCCCCCTATGCCTATCCCCCCCTCCGATTGTTTCCCCTGAGGGACCCACTTCCAATGCCGAGATCGTTTGATGACGCTCCAGAGGCCCTGTGAGGACCCGCGGAAGCCGAGAACGGCCAAAAACTGACCGTTGCTATTTCCTGTCACGACGCGAGGAGGTCAGGATCCAGCCGACCCCCGTTGCAAGGGGGAACGTTCATTTAGGGGGGGGCGGGCAAACATCGAGCTGGAATCGGTGATACATCGCAGATAGATCGGCGAAAGGCCTCGGATGGCGAGCCCGCACGTTCCAGGGCGGGGTGGGCTCGCGGGCCCCTATCGGCGATGAATGGGCGAGTGGGGGCCGATGCAGCCCCCCCTGAGCTTGTTCCCCCCCCTGTCGTTGCTCCTTGGTTTTCGGCTCCTGACTTGGCTCTCCGGCGGCCGTTCGGGACGATCTGGGCACTCCCAGAACGACCTCGGCGAGAGGCGCAGCTGCTGGAAGGCATCCCGAGGCTGGAAAGTCGCCGAGGACCGACGTGAGCGTCCGAAGCTGTCGAGCATCCTCGATCCTCGAACTCGCGCGTGTCCCCCCCTTACTCCCTGACGTTGTAGGGGCCGAGTAGATGGGGTCGGAGGACTGCACCGCATCGCCGATGTCTCGGCGATGCATCGGCGGCGACGGCGTGGAGAAAATTGGCTCCACATCGAGCTGCCTCGCCGCATCGCCGATGAACCCGCGATGCATCAGCGGCGATGCGGCGCGATCCTCCGACCCCACCCGGGAGCCCCTGACGCTGACACGCCCGCCAGGGCCGGCCCCCGTCGCCGGCGCGCCGCGCCGGCGGATCCTTGTCGTCGGCGCCCCGGCCGCGCCCGCGGCCGCGACCTCTGCCCCTGCCTGCGCCCGGCTTGGCCTCGGCACGAGACCAGGGACCCATGAACGGGGACCATCGGTGACCCAGGACCTGGGGATCCAACGCATTGGAAAAAAAGCAGGACAAAGGTTTTTCGCTATTTTCGGCCTCTGGAGGCCCTCGCCAGGCCCCAGGGCCGTCGAAAAAACAACTCAGGATGAAAAACCGGTCCCCTGGAATGGGTCGAGATGTCTGGGGACCCCGCATTGAGAAAATCAAAGGATCGGATCTCTGGGGCCTTCCCCAGACCTTCTCGCGATGTGAAAAAGTCGAGGTGACAGCACAAACATAAACTTTCGAAGCTCCGTTCAGATTTCCTGGATCTGCGCTGCCCCCCCGCCCCTGACGCACGGATCCGGGGGGGCCCGGCGCTGATCCAAGACATCCGCGCGGAGCTAGACAGTGTATGATTATGCACTTGGCTCTTCTTATTAAAAATGCCCTGGGCGTTTCTTAGCCCTTGACAGGCTAAATACGCTGTAATAGAACGCTCCGTTGTTTTAGAATGTTTACTGCATTCGTTTTAGCCTTTTTGAAGCCTGTCGCTGTGGATCTTCATGTTTTAGCGTCGTTTTCTATGTATTGTTGCAGGCTGCTCCTTGTTTGTCTTCTTAACACCAGCGCGGAACAGGCCCAGAGGCCCAGCGACCAGCCAGCAGCGACGGCCAGAGAATAGCGAAACGATTGGAATCAAAATATAAAGAGAACTGGACGCAAGGAGAAGGAGCTGAGGACGTGGTAGACGGCAATATTGAATCCCACCAGCCCTCTGGGCGTAAGTGGTCTAACGCGTTTCCTCTTCCACCCCTCCCTCCCCCTGACCCCCTCCCCTGGACCTTGAGGGGTGGGGTCGCGGGTCGTTGGAGCGTCCAAGATGGCCCAAGATGGCTCTAGGAAAGCCTCAGAGAGCCCAAGATGACTTCCAAGATGGCCCAGGATAGTCCAAGATGGCTCAGCATGGCTCCCAAGATGCTCCAAGAGGCCCCAAGACCGCTCAAAGACGGCTCCGAGTGGCCATGGAGCCTCCCCAGGAAGCCGCCAAGAGGCCAAAATCTTTCAAAACCTAAGCATAATCAATGAATGTTGCCTTCTCGCCTTTTCGCTTCCGATGGCCTTCCAAGGCCTCAAGACAGCTCCAACAGGGCCCATGAGGGCCCCAAGAGAGGCCCAAGAGAGCCCCAAGACGGCCCCAAGAGCGCCCAAGAGCGCTCCAAGAGCGCTCCAAGAGGGGCCGGGGCTCCTGTGGAGGGGTCAAAGCTCCCATATGTTTTGATCGATCTCCTCCAAGATGACCCCAAGAGTGCTCCCAAGGCTCCAAAGAGCGCCTCACAAGGGTCCAAAGGTGGGGTTGCGCGAAGCGTCAAGAATAGCGCCAGAAACCAATATGAAAACGCTGGACTCAAAACGTGAGGAAAAAAACGTTCGGACCTAAAAAACGCTGAAACCAAAGAAACAGATGTCCAACACGCCGATATTTTACTATGGAAAACCAACAAAAAAACGCCCAGGATATATTCTATAACCAAGTATGCAGTTATTTCTTCTCTTCAAGGGTCAGAACATCACCCATTAATACTCGCTTCTTCCAGGTTGTCATAAGAGGTCCCGGCTTGCAATGCCCTGCTGCAGTGATCGCTGTGACTTGCAAAATGTGCAAGTCCGCCTGAGAGCTCCAAGTTGGGTCCGAGAAGTGCTCAGACTTAGAGCAGCTACGGCAGGTTCGTGTCGTGTCGACCTCGGCGTTGATTCCTAACACCGCGGGAATCTCTCCACATTGAACGACCGGCGGTTTCCGAAACGTCAGAGCGTTCAACATCGACCGACTCTGGGTCGCCGGCGGCGTTCAACGTTGAACGCTGGTGGCGGGGTCGCCGCCGGTCGACACGACGCGAACCTACCATTGACGGACGTGAAATTTACTTACCGGCGCCCCGCAAGCGGGTTGCCACCACCTTGCAACCGCTGCACCTGTCGCACGTCGAACCGACCACCGCAGTGGACTCTGGGACCCAGACGGGACCCCACCAGCCGCGCGCTGAGGAGCAGCGCCGCGCGCGCCCCCTCCGGCGGCTGCCGCGCCTCGCGCCTCGCGCCTCTCCCGCCGCCGCGGAAAAGAAGGGCGGCCAAGAGCTCGCTGAAGGGCAATAGGGTTGGGAACTTCTGCTTCGCGTGTCGCCGCGGTCCGGCACCCCCCTCTGGCCCAAGCTGCTCTGGCCCAAGCTGCGAGCCGTCAGGAGGCCTCTGCCCGTTCCCTTCCCTTCACTTGTCTCGTTTTTCCCCTTCCACGCTTCCGTGATGAGCGCGTGGCTTTCTGGCGGGGCCTGGTCAGAGTGGCAGGACCCACGTGGTTGGCACAGTCGAGGTTGGCGCAGTCAGCATGGCCCCCCACATGATATTCAGCGAAGTTGGCACAGCCAGGATTGGCATAGTCAGCAGGGCCGCGAAGTCGATTACACTATCACAGTCTGGGCAGCCCGCCGCGCAAGACAGCGCGCGGCTCGTCAGCGAGCAGAGCAAGATACTTCTCCATCTGCACCACCAGGCGACGCTCCGGCGGCCCCGCCCGAAAACGACCCTACCACAGACTGCGAGCCCGAGGTCGTCGCTTTTCTGTGTCAGCATGGTCGTGGGATGTATGCGTCGAGCTTCGCTGAGCATGGCTTTGAGCGCATGGCTGAGGTACGGCTTATGAGTGATCGACACATGCGCGACATCGGCTTACGACCTGGCCATTGCATACGTCTTGCTACAGTACTGGGCCAGCAGGCTGCAACTGAACAGGGAGCCTGTGTCGACACTCTCCTGGAACCGCCTGGCTTGCTCGGCTGTCCAACAAAGCTCCCCGGCGGCATGACCACGACGCAGACCCAGCGCACCGACGTGGGCTGGCGCCCCGCCTACGCAAGGCGTTTCCCCTGAGATTGACTTTTCTCCTCCCCCCCTGCCCATGATTCCTCGAGATGCGACGGTTAGTCGCATACACCGGGAAGATTGCGAAATGGGTCGTCCCACCGAGAAGAGCGCGAAGATAGTCGCGAATGGTAGGAGGAGGAGCAGGCATAAGTCAGGGAGGACCTTGCCGACCGTCCAACACAAGCCACTGGCAACGCGACCTCTTCGCACACCCAACCGCCTCGGGTTCCAACGGACTCTGCGACGGCTGCGACGGTTAGTCACCTACACCGGGAAGAGTGCGAAATGGGTCGCGAGCCGCAGGAGAAGGGACAGGGAGAAGACAGAGAAGACCTTGCCGACCGTCCAACACAACACACTGGCGACACGACCCCTGGGAACACCCAGCCGCCTCGGATTCCAACAGACTCTGCGACGGTCAGTCGCTTCCACCTGGAAAAGTGCGAAGCTAGTCGCGAGTCGCAGGGTGAGGGGCAGGGAGAAGACAGAGAGAACCTTGCTGACCGCCCAACACAACCCACTGGCAACACGACCCCTGGGAACACCCAGCCGCCTCGGACTCCAAGGGATTCTGCGACGGTTAGTCACCTACACCGGGAAGAGTGCGAAATGGGTCGCGAGCCGCAGGAGAAGGGACAGGGAGAAGACAGAGAAGACCTTGCCGACCGTCCAACACAACACACTGGCGACACGACCCCTGGGAACACCCAGCCGCCTCGGATTCCAACAGACTCTGCGACGGTCAGTCGCTTCCACCTGGAAAAGTGCGAAGCTAGTCGCGAGTCGCAGGGTGAGGGGCAGGGAGAAGACAGAGAGAACCTTGCTGACCGCCCAACACAACCCACTGGCAACACGACCCCTGGGAACACCCAGCCGCCTCGGACTCCAAGGGATTCTGCGACGGTTAGTCACCTACACCGGGAAAGTGCGAAATGGGTCGCGAGCCGCAGGAGAAGGGACAGGAGAAGACAGAGAAGACCTTGCCGACCGTCCAACACAACACACTGGCGACACGACCCCTGGGAACACCCAGCCGCCTCGGATTCCAACCTCTGCGACGGTCAGTCGCTTCCACCGGAAGAGTGCGATGATAGTCGCGAGTCGCAGGGTGAGGGGCAGGGAGAAGACAGAGAGAACCTTGCTGACCGCCCAACACAACCCACTGGCAACACGACCCCTGGGAACACCCAGCCGCCTCGGACTCCAAGGACTCTGCGACGGTTAGTCACCTACACCGGGAAGAGTGCGAAATGGGTCGCGAGCCACAGGAGAAGGGGCAGGAGAAGACAGAGAGGACCTTGCCGACCGTCCAACACAACCCACTGGCGACACGACCCCTGGGAACACCCAGCCGCCTCGGATTCCAATAGACTCTGCGACTGTCAGTCGCCTCCACCGGGAAGAGTGCGAAGATAGTCGCGAGTCGCAGGGTGAGGGGCAGGGAGAAGACAGAGAGAACCTTGCTGACCGTCCAACATAGCCCACTGGCAACACGACCCTGGGAACACCCAGCCGCCTCGGATCCAAGGGATTCTGCGACGGTTAGTCACCTACACCGGGAAGAGTGCGAAATGGGTCGCGAGCCGCAGGAGAAGGGACAGGGAGAAGACAGAGAAGACCTTGCCGACCGTCCAACACAACCCACTGGCGACACGACCCCTGGGAACACCCAGCCGCCTCGGATTCCAACAGACTCTGCGACGGTCAGTCGCCCCCACCGGGAAGAGTGCGAAGATAGTCGCGAGTCGCAGCAGGAAGGGGAGCCCACCGCTGGGGAGGAGACCATCGAGGGAGCGGCGGAGGAGTCCCTGGAGGAGAAGTGCGAGGACGAGGAGAGCGAGAGCATCCCGGAGGACGACCTGGATATTTCGGTGGAAAGAGACAACGGGACCTTGGAAGACGAGGCCGCACTCCGGCGAATTGTGGACAGCGGGCGATTCGCTGCTCTCCGCCCCTCCCCCCTACGTCCACCAGGGGGCCCCGTGCCCGAGCATGCGACCAGCCCGCTGCAGGCCCCGCCAACTGCAAACGCGGACACGCCGCCTCGGCGGGCGGGCTTTGCCCGCGAGATCACCCCTGCACTGGCG